ACATACACATACATACATACATACACACAAACAATACACACATATATGTATTTGCAACAATATTATACTACACACAATTAAAATGATCTTACATTCAAAATATGTTTAAAACTGTATGATGGAAATCTATCAGAGCCTTCTCCACCTTCGATGCGCCTTTTACAAAACACAATTGCTTTCTCATACAGGAAAAGGTGTCGCTGCATTGGCTTGAATCTAGCAAAATCCTTCATTTTCGTTGTCCCTTTCCGGTGGCCCATCCAGACACTGAACGGGCCTTGCACTATCATCCGGCCCAGGTCAGTCAAGTCCCCCTACAATGGCAATCAAATCCATTAGGACAAGGCCGAGCTACATGCACATCTGTAACATCAACATTTTAATCTTGGGTTTGAAGCATTAAAAAAAAAAACCCTGAAGCATAAATTATATAGTTCTTAACAACTTAAACACTACAACTTGTTCAGTTAAAACATGCCACGTGTCACTTCTGTACAGAACTGCTTGTGGTGGTGAGAGCTCAGAGAAACTCCTCTTCCCTGGTCTGCTGCCTCCTTGTCGGGGTCTTTTGGCTGGGGTGTCATCCCCGATCCCTTCCTCAGTTCTAACTGATGGATGACAGATTCCAGTTCAAGCTTTCCCAGTGTGTGGTGCTAATCTGTTAAAAGGCTACAAATGCAGAAAATTTGCTCCTTTTCTTCCATATCTATCCTGGGTTTAGTCAAGCAATTAATATAGGATAGGATGTCTCCTTGCCAGACCCAAACATTTCTTCAGGCAGATATGCTCACTTAGGGGCAGGCACTGGACTTAGGGGCAGGCACTGGGGACAACTGGAATGTTTGAGTATCGATCTGAGGCCAATTCTTCACTTGATATCAGCAATAATAATGCGACGTTTTGGTCCCATTTGCCTGCCTCTCACAGAATCTTATTTCTCAGTTGGATCCAGGAAGAGAAAAAGGGATGTTGGCATGCTTGCCTCCCACCCCCCAGTCCCAACAAACCTGAGGCTATTCTTACCATATAGCCCGTTATTGCAATCTGATGCATGGAGTCATTGACTGACTTCAGTAATTCCAGCATTGTGTCCAGCGCCTCCTGTAATTGTTCACTTCCCTCACCGTCTGTGCTAGATTTTAATAGCTCCTATAATTAGGAGACAGGGATTCAACTTCATATTAGCTAGGTATTATTAGCTGGAGAAAATTATCAAATTTTTGGCAAACATGCTTTCAAGTAAAAATTCAAAGAGTACATCAAATCCCCAGACTCTACACAAGTACTTGTCTTAAGTCTGTTGTGAAGTTAAATTTGTACATCAAGGCAGAACAATAAGGTACAGTTCAGGTGTGATGCTAGTCAAATATTGGTCTCAGTATATAGTGTCAAAATATTAAAGAAGTACTTTCATACATAATGAAACATCTTTTACATAATAAACAGTCATAAAAATAATAATAATAATGTTTTGATGTATGTTATAAAGTAATACCAGTTATTACAAGCCATTGTATGTAGCTTAAATTTTTAATGTAATAGGTTTATGGAGATGGGGTATAACCATGGATTGCAAGTAAGCCAGATGTTTATAACTTAGAGACAGCCTGTAATTTCTTTCATGGGCTCTTTTCACATTCAGACTATATTTAATAACAATGTCATAATTGGGGAATAAGTGGAAATGATGGAATAATAAAAAGCAATAGTCATTGAATCCTTTTGAATGAAAAAAAACAATAGGATGAGGACTCACTAGCAAGTAGTTTTTAAAGCAATTACATGTGGGTTGTGCAAATAGATAATGTACTCAATTGTTAACCCAACCTTCTATGACTGAGTCCATCTGGATGTGCCTTGGAAGAAAGACCTGGGGAACTACTTGTGAAAAGTCAGCCATTGAAAACCCCTATGGAGCACATTTCTACTAAGACACACATGGAATAACAAAGGATTGCAATCAACTTACTAGCAACTGCTTTTTACATAAAACAATCTGTTTTGTCCATGACACATTCACAAGTCACATAGTATAAAATATTGTGAAAATCCACTTCAAATATGCTATTTTTCATTGATACTTAACTCAAAATTTTAGTAATACTTTCATTAGGAGAGTGCCATTTTCATTTTTCATAGAGAAAGCTCATATGAAATTCTGCCTCAAAGCCATAGAAATATTGGTCTCTTCAGACCCTAACAAAATTAACAGCTCTCCAGTTAAAATGTATGCAGACATCACTGTAACCTGTATAGGGAACTGAATGGGTAAAAAGATTCTGATAGTCTCAGCTTGACATTTATGCCTAAGGCACTTGGCATAATCAGTAAGTCAAAGTAGCTCATTGAATGCATTCCAGCCTTCCCCATCCTGTTGTGATGTGCCATGGAGTCGCTTCTGCCCCATCCTAGAGCCTACTTCTTTCTAGTGGTTCCTACCTTTGCCATATCTGACCCAAAAAAGGAAGTAAAGAATGAAATAAAAGCTTCATGTCATTACCTTCAACAGTAACTGATATTTAGTGATTCGTTGCACTGGTTTCAGTAAATAGGAATCCAGACCAAGTCTGTGTTTTAATTTCCTTTGACATTCCTGTCATTAAAAGATAATCATCAATACATTGACATGAAGGCATAGATCTGTGAAGATGCCAAGTGTTACATGATTTATACCCAATGCATGAATATTTCTGACATTTCAAAGAAAATCTATCAGGAAAATTGATCTTTCATGTGCTATAGAAGCTATTAGAGGTAGCATCTCTGAAAAACCACAGTTAATATTACTTCAGGGATTTGGACGGTAGTAAATTTCCAACATTTCAAAGGTAAAAAACAGTTTTCATCAAGACATTCACATTGAGGTAGAATGCTTAAAAGGTGAGAAAGCAAGGAAGGACTATAAATTTACATGATGAAAATGCTCTCCATGATATATTTTATAAATTAATAAAATGTTCAGGCCCAAAGGCTAAGGTGTAGAAGAGAAATTGTTGTTGTTGTTGTTAGGTGCCGTGGAGTCGGTTCTGACTCATAGCGACCCTGTACAGGGTTTCCAAGGCTGTAAATCTTTATGAGAGCAGAAAGCTTCATCTTTCTCCTGCGGAACAGCTGGTAGTTTCAAACTGCTGACTGTGAGGTTAGCAGACCGATTCATAACCACTATGCTACCAGAGCTCCTTAGAAGAGAAATAAGACTGGGTTTGAGAACAGTTTTTTTGTTGTTTTTTTTTTTAATTATGTGTATATGTTATTTTTTTCCAATATCACAAGAAAAATGCAGCACTCTTAACTGGTGTTACATTTCATCAAGCTCACTGCCCCTATAAATATAATGGCCATGGCATTAGGTCCTGGGACCATTGTCAGGTCCATAATTAGGGCAAGATGGGACTGATTAGGAAAAATGTTCATAAAGGATATATAGAACACAAAGCGATAAGGAGGGATTATACCTGTGTATAAGACCCAGGGTCTTCCTCTGATTATTGGTAAAATCCTATATACAATCTAATTCAAATACAAATGATCATTTATAGGGAAAGATGGTGAACTGATACATGTACTTAGTTCTGCTCACTTTTGAAGCCCCACTGAAATGATGGAAAATACATATTTTTACAAGGAAAACTACATTTGCACATGAGAGAAAATATAGCACAGATAAAAACTGGAGACTGAAAACCACATTTTGTTCCTTCATTCATCAGTTGATGGGCATTATAAGAAGGGGTAGGACAACAGACAAGATGAGGAAGGTTGGAGGAAGAATGATGAAGATAGGTGAAGATGCAGGGAGATATGCAAGGGCTGGTATGGCACTGTAAGATAGGCACTGGATTGGTAACTGCAAAGTCAGCAGTTCAAACCCACCAGCCACTCCTGGAAACCCTTTACAGGGTGGCTATGAATCAGAACTGACTCGATTGCACACAACAACAACAAAGAGGACAGAGGTAAATAGTGTTATTTGCACAACCTTAGAAGAAGTGTTTCATGGGTAGCCACATGGACAGATACATGTACTTTGGGTAGATATGTAGGCTGAATGGGTATGACAGGAAAAGTGGGAGTATATCCACAAATATACAAAGGGTTTAAAGAGGAGACTTATATAAGGGCATTTACCTTTGCTGCAAACACAACTGTGAATGTGATGGAGCATAGAGTGTGCAAATGATGAACACTGTTTAGATATTACCAAGCATCTTAAGGTAACGATCTGCTGGGCCTAGAGGCTCAGGACCATTGTTTCTGGGGACACCACAGGCAATTGGCATGACCATGCTGTCCATCCTACATTGTTGTTGGACATCCTCTATTGGTGAGTAGCAACTGGGAACTTAAAAGCTCATGAGTGGCCATCTAACATGCAACTATTGATCTCTTCATGTGCAGAAGGCAGAATGGTGATGAGAAGTGAAGATGCTTGGAATCAATTAGTGCAACAGAATAATGGACCATATGAGCATCAGTCTCCATGAAACTGAAACCAGGAGAACTAGACGGTGCCTGGCTACCGTTACCAACTTACTCTGAAAGTGATCATATTAGAAGGTCCCAGATAGAGTGGGTGAAAATGTGGAACAAAATTCAAAATTATTAAAGAAAAAAAGAGACCTGATTTACTGGTCAGAAAGAGACTGGAGGAACCTGACACTGTGGCCCCGATCACCCATCAGGTGATCTAGAAAAGAACTCACCCTCGTGGCCCAATTTTCAGCCAAGTAGTAGACAAGCATCTAGGAGGGACGACAGTACTAGTAAGGTCTGCTCACCATGGAATGGTCAATTGTTCTAAATCAAAGGGGCAGCATTTCCCCAAGAACAAAGTTAGTTAAAAAGGGATAGAAAGGAGGGTGGAATGGATATAGGAGTCACCGGGAGGAAGCGGGATAACTGTTGTTGTAGGGAGGGGATTGTAGACATTGAAATGAAACAACGGGTAAGATTTATTGAATGTAAAAATGACGATCTTGTCTGTAAACCTTTACTTAATTCACAATGAAAAGTTTTTTTAAAAAAGTAAACAAGAGATGAATCACCAGACATTTAAGGAAAGTGTCTAATATGAGTGAAAGACAAAGAAAATATAAAAGCAATTAGAAGACAACAGAAACTTTGTTGGTAGAAGAAAATTATTTTTAAACAAAATCTATTATTATTGTCCTCTGTGGTGCTACAGGATAATGCACTGGACTGCAAGGCCAGTCTGAACCACAAAGTCACTGGCTCAAACCCACTAGCCACTCCTTGGAAACCCTATACAGGGTCACTATGGGTCATAATGGACTCAACAGCACATAACAACAACAACATATACATAAGAAAACAATTAATGAAACTAGTTAAAGGAATATTCAGAGAACAAAAATGGGTAGAAGTCTTCAAATTTAAAAATATAATGGCAGAAATAAAACACACATACAAATTGGAATAAAAATTAGAAGAAATCTCTCAGAAATTAGAAAAGATAAAGAACTGAAAGAAACTGTAAACTGATGGTGGTGGTGGTGGTGGTGGTTATGTGCTGTGGAGTCGGTTCCGACCCATAGCGACCCTATACAGGGTTTCTGAGGCTGTAAATCTTTACGGGAGCAGAATGCCTCATCTTTCTCTCACGGAACAGCTGGTAGTTTCAAACTGCTGACCTTGCAGTTCACAGCCCGATTCGTAACCACTATGCTACCAGAGCTCCTTAACTATAAACTAGAGAGAGAATAATTAGAGGACTAATCCAAGATATCCAACATTCATACAACTGAAATTCTAAAAAGTGAATTGGAGAGAATCAAGTAATCTAAGTATATTTGGACAGGAAGTTGTAAATTCAAAGGTCTTACCACAAGTCCAGCACAAAGGATGAAAAAAAATATTAACATCAAGGAACAGCAAAGTGAAATTTCAGAAGCCTAAGAATAAAAAGTTCCTCCTGGAAGCTTTCAGAAGGAAGAAAAACTTAGGTTATCCACAAAGGAAGATGATCAAAATGGCATTAGATGTCTCAACAGCAACACTGGGAACTAGAAATCAATGGGATAATAGATTCAAAACTCCGAGGACAACAAAAATCATGCCTAGAATTCTATACCCAGCCAAACTACCATTTTAAAAACCAAAATCTTTTAAGACACGTAATCTCTCAAAAAAAAAAATATATATATATATCCCACGTACATTCTCTCAGTAAAATTACTAGAGCATGTGTTCTACCAAACATGGGAGTATAGCAAGAAAAATAAAGGCATGGTGAATAGGAAACAGAGGTGCCCACACAAGACACAGGTGAGAATCCCAAGATCCAAGATCTTGCAACAGGCCTAGAATGAGCAACCAGTCTACATGAGAAAGTCAGAAGGCTCCAGGAGAGATTTCTTTAAGAAGATGAAAATAAAAGGAAAGCTAGTATGTTTAAATGTATTAAGAAGAGATTTACAGAACTGGGACAATTGAGGTGGAGGAGTGATGTGTTTCTAGAAAATTCAAACCACATTCAGAAGAGGATATAGAATGAGGGATTATCATTGCTGATGTCAGACAGATCTTGACTGAAAGTAGGGAATACAAGAAAGATATTTACCTGTCTTACATTGCTTATGCAAAGGTTTTCAACTGTGTTTGTTGTTGTTATGTGTCATCAAGTCAGCTCTGACTCACACAGAAACCTGTATAGGGTTTCCAATTAGTGGTTAGTGGGTTTGAATCACCGACCTTGTAGTTAGCAGTCCAATGCTTATCCTACAGCACCACACCAAGAATCATTCAACTATGTGGATCATAATAAGTTATGGAAAACATTACAAAAGCTGGAATTCCAGAACACTTATTTGTGCATATGCAGAACCTATAGTTAGACCAAAAAGCAGTCCTTTGAACAAACCACTGAGTGGTTTAAAATCTGGAAAAGTATTTGCCTGGGTTGTAGTCTTTTACCATATATATTCAATTTGTATGCTGAGCACATAACATGAGAAGCTGGACTATATGAAGAAGAATTCAGCATTAAGAGTGGAGGAACTATCATTAAATACCTGAAATATTCAGATGATAGAACCTTACATGCTGAAGGTGAAGCAAACATGCAACACTTACTACTAAACATCAAAGACTCCAGTTTTCAGTATGAATTACGCCTCAATGTAAAGAAAACAAAAATCCTCACAACTGGACCAATTAGCAACATCACAATAAATGGAGAAAAGATTAAAGTTGTCAAGGATTTCATTTTACTTATATCTACCATCAATGTCGTAGTGGTTCCGAATCAGGCTGCAAACCGCAAGGCCAGCAGTTCGAAACTACCTGCTGTTCCACAGGAGAAAGATGAGACTTTCTGCTCCCATAAAGATTTACAGTCTCGGAAACCCTGTGCAGTGTCGTTATGAGTTAGGACCGACTCCACAGTACCTAACAACAACAACCAACACCACCAATGCCAATGGAAATAATAATCAAGAAATCAAATTGTCTACTGCACTAGGCAAATCTGATACAAAAGACCTTTTCAAAGTGTTCAAGAGTAACAATGTCAGTTTGAGGACTAAGGTGCACTTGACCCAAACCATGGTATTTTCAGTACCCTCATATGCATGTGAGAGTTGAACAGTGAATAAGGAAGACCGTAGAAGAATGGATGCATTTGAGTTATGGTGTTGGAGAAGAAGAAGAGTCAAACTACCATGGACTGCCAGAACAACAAACAAATCAGTTCTGGAAGAAATACAGCCAGAATGCTCCTTAGAAGCCAAGATGGTGAGACTTGTTCTCAAGTACTTTGGACAGGTTATCAAGAAGAACCAGTCCCTGGTAATCACAGAATGCTTAGAAAAGTAGAGGTTTGGTGACAAAGAAGAAGACCCTCAACGAGATGGATTAACACAGTGGCAGCAGTCACGGCTTCAAACATGGCAACGATGATGAGGAGTAGGCAGGAGTAGGCAGTATTTTGTTCTGTTGGACAAATTATGGATGACATTAAGCTCTGAAGGTCTCTAGGAGTCAGAACCACCTTGATGGCACCTAACAACAGCAACATTCAGAGAGGGAGATTAAAGAAAAACACAAGATAAACAAAAAGGGGAGGAAAATCAATCATGCCACAGGATTAATCTGAGAATAGAATTTACATATTTGACACTGATAATCAATCTAACCAAAACAATAATACAACTCAAAAACTTGGAGTAAGGATGGTGTGTGTATGAGTGTGCAAAAGGTAGGGTGGGGGAGGGGGTAAAAGAGAGCTAAATGCTCATCTGCCATCACTGTTGTGGCAAAGTTCTGTCAAGTTGGTTCCAACTCATAGCAACCCTGTATAGGGTTTCCGAGGAGCAGCTGGTGGGTTAGAAGTCCAGTGCTCATTCTACAACACAACACCAGGACTCCTCATCTGTCATGGTGGGAAGTTAAGAGATAATGCCTCACTCTGGAAACAGTGAATCAGCATCAATGCCAGCATGTTATTTGGAAACATGTGGGAAATACCAAAAGACATAGCTAAAAGAGCTGAAAGGAGTAACTGCTGTGTGAAACAAATACATGCATGTGCATGTGCATGCCCATGTTTTAGAGACACTAGAATTCCTCTGTATCCTATATACACATATAAATTACTTAAATATGAATTTGCACATGAGAACTATGTCCAATACTTGAATAATTACTATACCTGGAAAAAGGCACATTCAGAATATTTCTTCCAAATTGTCTCCGATCTGGGCTTATTCTGACAATATTTTGCATACATCTGAAAGTCTTCCTTCTGTAATAAAAAGCAAATTCCAACATATTATCAATTTGTGAATGTGTACTTATGCGATCAAGGAAGTTTGGGCAAGAGTGAATGTGGCTGAGCATTATAGGAAAAGTGGCTTACAGGGTCACACCGGAAGCTGGTATTCTGAGAATGGCATGGTTATCTAACTGGGGTAAAGGGACACATAATTAGCCAAGTACTTTCAGAAGTTCCACTTACCAAGCTTGAAAGTCAGAAAGAGAAAAAAAAAACCTTCCCTGTCTGAACTATAAAAACAGACAATATTTTGTTTCATCAGTAGGCTGAGTTCCCTGACGAATGAACTTGTAGCTCACTTCCAAGTTAAAGCCTGCAATCCTTGGTTCAGTACTGGGAGGTCATCATCGTAACCTAACCCATTGTGGCATCTGCCCATGCTAGTCTCTCTCTCTGGAATCATCTTTCTCTCACCCTCATCCAATGGACCACCTGCTACTCAACTAATGAGTCCTCTCTTCTTTAAAGCCATTATTTAGTCCCCAGGTTGCTATAAGATGTTCTTCTTCTGGGTTTCCATAGAGCCATTTACTTATCTTTAATACAGCATAACTCAAACTGAACAGGCTCAATGGTTTCCCAAGTTTTCTCCCTCAATAGTCTTGGGTTGGGTTTCTGTATTGCCTCACACAGTGCTTAACACATAGTAGGTATTCAATGTTGTTAAGTGCTGTTAGTTCATTCAGACCCATAGCGACCCTGTATAGGGTTTCTGAGGAGCAGCTGGTGAGCTTGAACCGTCAACCTTGCAGTTCAAAGGGCTTTGCAGTGTGGTACATTAACCCACAGTGTCACACTAGGACTCATAGGTGTTCAACAGATGACTGTTAAGTGAACCTGTCATTAACAGGCATTTATTAGAATCATCATTGGTAGGCAAGAACTGTGCTAACCTGCAATACAAAGAACACTAGGCTACACACTCTGCCTCCGAGAGCTTCTCATCTAGTTGAGGAGATGATTCATGAACATGGGAAAAGATGCAAAGTAAATATGAAGTCACCAATGGGTAGCATACACTTTTTGTGTGACATTAGTCCAAAGGAGGGAGAGACTGCTGTTGTTTCAGGAGATAAGGGAAAAACTTTGGCCACAGTTTACACATGTTTAAAGACAGTTGGAAAGAGTAAAGGTACACAGCTTTTTCTTAGCTTTATTCTCTTTCATTTCACACAGATTTTCCAGGAAAATATATCTAGTGTGAGGCTTTTATCTCTCACCTCTATTGAAATGACTCCCAAATCAAGACAGACCACACCTTGCAATAAGAGAAGGAACTTGAGAAGTACAAAAGGGTAATCAGAAAATACTCTGACAGAAAAATCTAAGGAGAAGATCATCGTGAAGGCTAGAACGTCAATTGTACTAAGGAGACTCTTGGGACGTGGAGTAATGAGCCTCCCTGAACAATCTTGTAAAATAAAAATAAGTTGCTCTCTGCTTCCTGAAATTCCCATGATAGATGCTTTGGTGAATGAAAGCTAGTCTAGATTCAACTCTAAGGCTTTACATATATTCAAGGAGACCTCCAGGCATTTTTTACGCTAAGAATGAACCAAACCCAGAATGGTTTTGTTAAGATGGTCCCGGTTCTCACATCTCATAGTCAGGGTGGTCCCTGTACTCCTGGGATGAGCTGTGCGTCAGTGGTCACAAACTGAGCCACTGGAGTATTTCATAACACATAATCCAATGGACATTTGCTTACTCTAGATGCCTCATTGTGTCAATTTCTGCAGCAAAACTTGGTTTAACATTAAATGCTCGATATGTCATCTCCCACAATGAAATGCTACCTGGATTGATGTGTTGTCTCCCACAACATAAAGACATAAAAAAGAAACTCTCCCGTCTCCAGATCAATGCTTTTAAATGAGCTGTTATTTTGGTAGCCCATATTTAAATATTTTCTTTTTAATAATTTAACTCACCCGTTCTAGGAAACAACGTCCTATTCGCTCTGGTGTATTACAGCAATTTTCCAGGCTGCTCATGAAAATGCTGTTAAAATTCCAAAGAAAAGAAATGCCTTAATTATATGTGCAATAGAATAAATTGGTCAATAAAATTGTAAGATAATATCATACAAAAATTCAATTCAGCAATTACATACTTATTATGAAACTCATAGATCTCTGCCATATTTCCAAAAAGAATGTCCTTTTTATTTCTCAGAGACGGTGGCATAAGATCAAACATTTGTGGATTATCCATCTCTGATCGGTAGCCCTACATAAAATAAAGACATGCATTTGGTTTCATAATATTTGCATTAATATCTGTGGTGGCCACCAAAGGTGTACGGGATTTGGGGGTGTAGCTTTTTGAAATTTTAACATTGAAATCTCTCAATTCCCAAAGTCACCCAATTTTTTTCTTTAAAGGCAGAATAAATAGTCAAGGTTTTCAACTCAGTCAGTAGAATAAAGTGAAAGCTCACTGGCCTTAAGGGAAGCTTATAGGGTAGGAGACAAAGTAGAAACCAAGTGTGAAAATTCTACTCTAGGCCATCAACTTCTCTTGAAGCTGGCAATATGTGCTGAGGGGGTTTTCAAACCAAATTAATATAATGACATTTGATTTGTGGAAACTGAATATGTTTATCCCTTTTTCAGTTATTTACATCACCATCTCTAAATAGCGCTCTGGGAATAACTGTATCAATCTGCTGTGTCTCTAAGATCCAACAGGCCTCACCATTTAGATATAGTGAACAGATATCTTGAACCAACACACGGTGCCAAATAAATGTCCACAGCTGAGAAAGGACAATCAAGAAAAGAGACTGAAACAGGAGGCTGCCCCAAACATCTCCTAATAAATGGAGTTTGGGAGGTCATTCAGGAAAAGATGGGGAAAAAGAAATTTGAGTCGCTTACCAATAAAACAGTAAACAGCTCTCGAACATACACCTTCTCAGTCTGTATCAGCTCATTTAGGACATGGCTAAAATGAAAAGAAAGAAGGTGCTTATCAGTTATTCTGTTGCCCTATTATTGCTAACTTTCCAAATTGTTAATGTATAGTTATTGCCAATAGTCTTCTCTGGTTTCTAGACTCAGTACCACGCACAAGCCTCTTTAAAATATATTTTTTTAAAATAGAGCAGGGCTGTTCACAGTTATTAATGTGAAAAAAAAAATCACTTGATTTCCAACTCACTAAACCTAGGAATCAATTTTCTAGAAATTAACAAGATGCATTCTTAAATCTGAGGATTTTCCTTCCTCAGACAGCAGTTTCTGTGCTACAGATCCCTCTCTCTCTCTCTCCAAAAATTGAAAATTTTTTTTAAAAGGATAGCATCTAAGAACTTTTTTTCCTTTTTCTAAGTAATATCCTGAAATTTTTTAGGGTATAAAGTAGATCTATTCTCTTGGTTTTCCCAAGTAAAGACAACGCATACGTTTCTAACACAACTTTGTTTACAATCTCTGTAATATAAAATATGGGACTCTTGGTGTGGCGCTATAGGATAAGCACTGGGCTACGAACCACAAGGTCAGAGGTTCAAACCCAGCAGCTACTCCTCGGAAACTCTACACTGGGTGGCTACAAGTCAGAACTGACTCAACAGCAGTTAACAATATATCCTCTTTCCAATATGATTCTCCATTGACATTATATTTAAAATTCATTTCCTCATTCTCCCATATAAGGAACCCATTTTAAATTTTAATTTAACTTCTAACTTTGGCCTCTCTCTGTCTCTTTGTCTCCAACCCCCTTTAAAAAAAAATTTTTTTTAATTAAGCTTTTAACATTTAAGAGTATTTGAATATATATTCAATATATATATATTCCATTTTAAGGATTTAACATTTAAGAGTCTTTGAATATATGTACAAATGTACATGTGTGTATTTATTATATTTTTAAGCAACTAACATTTAAATTTCTGAATCTATATATGAGGGGGCTTCAAAAAAGTTCACGAAAATATTTTTACATGAATTTTTTTAAGCCCTTCATATTCATATATATCTATATCTATAATCCCCATACAACTTGCCCCAAAATACTGGCTACTTACTCACAACTTTGTGACATGCAGTTTAAAAGTTGACTATTCTTATGTCTAGAATAATTGCATCGTGTGATAGAAGTGAACAATTATTGCCAATATCTATAAAGTGATCATGTATATCTATAACACTCTTTTAGTCTTTGATACTCTGCCCTAGTCAATTATACTTCCTTTGCAAAAGAGGGGACTAAACGTTTGGAAAAGTCTGGTTACTTCTGCCTCGAGTCACAAAGCTAGTGCAGAGCTTGGCCAGGCCTAAACCCAGGACTTTGGACTCCTCATTCAGCAGAACCCCAGTCTGTGAACTCAATGTTCCACAGCCTCCCACAGGTACATGTATTGTTGTATTTGTTAAGTGCCTTCGAGTTGGTTCCGACCCATAGTGACCCTGTATAGGGTTTTCGAGGAGCAGCTGGTAAGCTTGAACCGCCGACCTTGTGGTTCAAACCGACTTTGCAGTCCAGCGCAAAACCCCACAGCACCACACCAGGAGTCCACAGGTACATGTATATATGAGTGAATATTAATAGATAGAAGGTACTTCTTGAAAACATCCACGCTGTTGTCATTTCCCAAAGTGGAGGATTGACCAGTTCTCTTCTCTCGAGCATCCCGCACTACTTCAATCTGAAACAATGGAAAGAAAAGGTAAAGTTGAATCTATGTAGGGGTATTTCTCTTCAAGCAAATCTAGGTCAAATTATGTTTCCTCTAGTTAGGGTCTTAACTCTGTAGACTCAGCACTGTTTGTCAATTTGTCTTACTGTCGTGGCTTACATGTTGCTATGATGCTAGAAACTATGACGCTGGTATTTCCCATACCAGCATCCACGGTGGATAAAGGTTTCAGTGGCACTTCCAGACTAAGGGAAACTAGAAAGAAAGGCCATCTATGTCCAAAAATGAGCCACTGAAAGCCCTATGGATCATGACAGACTACTTACTATCTGGTACAAAGCTGGAAGATGAGCCACTGAGTTTGTCAGGCACTCAAAATTCCTAGTAGAAGAAAATGAACTTGAGAACAACAACTGCAAAGATGGCCCAGGACCAGGCAACATTTCGTTCTGTTGTTTATGGGGTTGCCAGGAGTCAGAGCCAAAGCAATGGCAACTAGCAGCAACAGTTACATAAACCACTTAGAAGACTGATTACTCTATGTCACCCATTGTTCAAAGTATTTCACAAATATTAGATGATTTAATCTTTATAGTAATCCTAGGATAAAGGAGCTCTGGTAGCATAGTGGTTACAAATCGGGCTGCTAATCTCACGGTCAGCAGTTTGAAACTACCAGCTGTTCCGTGGAAGAAAGATGAGGCTTTCTGCTCCCGTAAAAATTTACAGCCTCAGAAACCCTATGCATGGTCACTATGGGTCAGAACTGACTCCACGGCCCAAAACAACACCACCAATCCTAGGATAAAGGTGTTCTATTATTATCACTGTTTTGTAGCTAAGGAAACTAAGAGTCAGAGAGCTTGCCCATGGTTAAAACATCCACAAGGTGATGTACTGGAATTAGAAGGCCATTTGTCTATCTCTAGAATCACTACCACTATGCTATGCTGTCTTTTGGAGATGGTGTCCTTCATCCACCATCAAGAACACACAGAAAAATAATGTCGAGTCCTCTCTGCAGATTCCAGAGTACCATAGGTGACTAAGACGAACGGACTCATAGACATTTTTTCTCTGTTTGTGAGTCCTACTTGCACGACTGGAATCATGTCTGAAAGAAATCATCTGTAACCAGGTGTAAGACTTATTTGGATATTAAATAAACAAATTATTATTAAATGAGTTAATTAGGTATTGAAGGAACATGGAGAAAAGGAGAAGCTGGAATATATATGAGCTGCTCTACAGAAATGATGCTGAACTGGAGCCAGATGGATATGCCAATACCGCAATTAGACACAATGCAGCAGCAGATTTCTCTTTCAAATTAAATAGGCTTTCAAACACACACTATTGATCTAGTGAATAAAGAATATGCTTTAAACCCTCATACTGATTCTGCTACGACAGCAATACAGTCAATTTGGAATTAATGAATGATACTTACTTTTAATTTGCTCTGATTTTGTCTCCAAGTCTTCTTCCCTAGTAGAGCAATGTGAAAGATTGTTTCAAATCACAATTAAAGTCAGCACTTTTTATGAAAATACATACATGTCTATGAGTATATGATAAGAGAAAACCTAATATTCTAACTTGTTGATATTAGTATTCCTAAAGCACACTACAGAGAACAAGTCATGGTTAGATTTATCTACACGATCCACTTCTTTCTGACCCTGATTTTGCTTATAGGGTTTCCGACACTGTATAGTTTTATGGGAGCAGTCACTCAAGCACGAAACGTTCCTATTCTGGCTGAGCACTGACTTAGGTATCAGCAATCATTCCATTTGCTTGTGTGTTCATTCAGACACATAAGCTTTTAATCAGATATTAAATGTGGCACAAAATATGTGTTGGAATCTTACCCCCTATATTTGTGGGTACAATCCCATTTTGTAATATCATTAACTTTGTTATGTTATTGAGGTGAGTCTTACACCTGATCACTTGTTGTTGTTATGTGCCATAGAGTCAGTTCCGACTCATAATGACCCTGAACAGGGTTTCCGAGGCTGTAAATCTTTACGGGAGCAGAAAGCCTCATCTTTCTCCCACGGAACAGCTGGTAGTTTCAAACTGCTGCCCCTGTGGTTCGCAGCCCGATTCGTAACCACTACGCTACCAGAGCTCCTTCCTGATCACTTTGGAGATACATAAAGAGCAGATACAACACAGAAGCAAGTAAGCACAGATGGGGAAAGACAGACACCAGGCCACATGTAGATCACCAAGGCACCCAGGAATGGAAGCTGAGAAAAGACAAAGACATTCCCCCAGAGCCAACAGAGAGAAAGCCCTCCCCTCGAGCTAGCACCCTGAATTCAGGCTTCAAGCCTCCTGAGTGAAAAGAAATCTCTCGCATTTAAGGTCACCCACTTTTGATATTTGTTACAGCTGTACTAGATACTGAGAGTTTGTTGTTGTTGTTGTTGTTGTTTTTTAATCTAAAGATAACCTACCAGTCATGGCAAGTAACATTTACTACATACCTGGCACTCTTATGAACCCTACATTTACATTAACTTTTTAATCTTGTAAGCAACTGTAGGAGATAAGAAACTGCTTCTATCCTCCTTATATAAATAAGGAAACAAGGGTAATAGCTTGTCCAAGAAGCTCAGGTGGTATTCAAATCCATAGTCTGCTGTCAGAGTTGGCGCTCCTATGCACTTCTGAAGTACATTTGCGACCAAATGAAAACCACTGCCATCGACCATTTATAGGGTTTCCAAGACTGTATATCTTTATGGGACAAAGAGATTCACCTTACTCCCACAGAGCAACCGATAGGTTTGAACTGCTAACCTTGTAGGTAGCAGTCTAGTGCTTATCCTACTAAAATTCAAAGGCTCAATCTTTATATAAAAATGATGTTTACAAAAGGTGAGGCTCCTGATTCTTAAACCAGGACTTCAGATGTTCCTACAAAGCCAGGGCCATGGCCCAGCCAAAGATGTTGTTGTTAGGTGCCATCAAGTCGGTTCCAACTCACAGTGACCTCATGTAAATACGTAACAATCTGGTCCTGCGTCATCCTGACAATCATTCCTACCTTTCAGCCCAATCAATGTTGCAGTCACTGTGTCACATTCCATTTCGTTGAGGGTCTTCTTCTTTTTCACTGACCCTCTACTTTACCAAGCAGGATGCCCTTCTTCAGGGGCTGGTCCCTTTTGAAAATATGTCCCAAGTACACAAGACAAAATCTCACCATCCTCAATTTACACATTTCATTATAATACGGTACTTTGTCTTCTAGAATTGTCCTTTAAAATCTTCTGTTCAGCTCTTTCACTTCATAATTTCTTTCACTAGCTTTGGCTATAGTCCATTCAAGAGCAAGTTTCAGAGTCTCTTCTAAGATCCAATTTCTTGTTTTCTGTCTTTCCTGTCATTTTCATGACCTTTTGCATTTCTCATTTATGATGGCTCTGATTGTTGCTGTTGTGGTCAGGTGTCATCAAGTCTGTTCTGATTCATAGCGACCTTGTGCACAACAGAAGGAAACACTGCCCAGTCCTGCACCATCTTCACAATTGTTGTTATGTTTGAACCCATTGCTGCTGTCACTGTGCCAATCCATCTCGTTGGAGCAGTCTTCTGCTTTTTCACTTTGATGTCATCCCATTCCACCTCTTGCTTCTGTTATTCCTGTTCGGTTTCTGAGATGACCTCTAAATTCAGGTGGGCTATACTCAAGGTTGCACTTTGGCTTTCATTGATTTGTTTCCATTTTCTTCAGCTTCAACTTGAACTTGCATATGAGCAATTGATGGTCTGTTCTGACAGATGATATTGAACTTCTCCATCATGTCTTCCCACAGATGTAGTCAATTTGATCCACCTGATGAGTTCGATGTGTGTAGCTGAATTTTATGTTATGGGGAAAAAAAGGCGCATGCAATTAAAAAGTCATTACTTTTTTTAAAAAATTCTATTATACAATCTCCAGCATTATTTCTATCATCAAGGTCATATTTCCAACTGATGACTCTTCCTTGTTTCCAAGTTTTCCATTCCAATTTCCAATGATCAATGCATCTGGATTGCATGTTTGATCAAATTAGACTGAAGAAGTTCATAAAAATCTTCAAATTCCTCATCTTTGGCAATAGTCACTGGTGTATAAATTTGAATGATAGTCACATTCAGTGGCCTTCCTTAAAGGCATATAAATATTATCTTATCACTGACAGTCTTGTACTCCAGGATAGATCTTGAAATGCTCTTTTTGATAATGAATGCAACAGTATTCCTCTTCAATTTGTCATTCCTGGCATAGCAAGCCACATGATTGTCTGATTCAAAATGGTCAATAACAAACAGTTCATTTCAACTCACTCATGTCGAGGAATCACTACTCATCTGTCAGTTGGTCTTACTGTGGCAGCTTATGTGTTGCTGTGATGCTGGAAACTATACCACAGGTATTTTAAATACCAGCAAGTTGAACCAGAGTAAGGCAGAGTAGGAAGGAGAGGCGGACTACTTCTGAAGGTTTACCCACTGAAAACCCTATGAATAGCAGTAGAATACTGTTTGATACAGTGAGTGCCAGGATATGAAGAAATTATGAATAGCAGCAGAACACTGTCACATATAATGCCAGAAGATGAGTCCCACAGGTTGGAGGAGCTGCCTCCTTAAAGTAGAGTTGGCTCCTCAAAGTAGAGTTGACCATAATGACATGTACGGAGAAAAGCGTTCGAGACCTTCATTTGCTGATGGGGCACAACTCAACATGAGGATAAATAGCTGCAAACATCCATTAGTAATCAGAAAAAATAATGCAAGAATTATGATTCTAGGAAAATTGGAAGTTGGCAAAAATGAAACGGAACACATAAAGATTGATATCCTAGACACTGTTGTTAGGTGCCATAGAGTCGGAATTGACTCACAGTGACCCTATGCACAACAGAACAAAACACTTCCCGGTCCTGGGCCAACCTCACAATTGTTGCCACTCTTGAGCCCATTGATGCTGCCACTGAGCCAATCCAACTCATTAGGGGGTCTTTCTCTTTTTCTCCGACCCTCCACTTTATCAAACATGTTATCCTTCTCCAGTGACTGGTCCCTCCTGACAATATGTCCGAAGTGTTAGAGAAGAAGTGTGGCCATCCTGGCTTCCAAGGAGCACTCTGGCTGTATTTCTTCCAACACAGATCTATTGGTTCTTTTGGCAGTCCATGGTGCTTTTAATATTCTCCTCCAGCACCATAACTCAAATACATCAATTCTTCTGTGGTCTTCCTTATTCACTGTCCAGCTTTTACATGCATATGAGGTTATTGAAAATACCATGGCTTGGGTCAGGCATACCTTAGTCCTCAAAATGACATCTTTGTTCTTGAACACTTTAAAAAGGTCTTG